GAGCGTAGCAGTGTAGAGTTGCGTTGAGTGTAATAGCGTACCGTACGATGCACAGCGGCCACAGCCCAATCCTTAGCGTCCAACCTTCAGGGTGCACAGCCCAACCTCCAGCAGGTAATAGAACTTCGCAACAGAGTCCGACCTCCAGCATGTAAAAAAGCTTCGCATCAACAATGTGTGTGTGTGTTGTGGGCGGGTGGGTGGGTGGGTGGGGGAGTACGTGGGTGCATGTGTGTGTGTGTGTGTGTGTGTGGAGCAAAGTCAAAGTAGCGTCGAAGTCGAGTGATGTTGAGCATCAAGCCCCCCAAGAGAGAGAGAGAGAGAGAGAGAGAGAGAGAGAGAGAGAGAGAGAGAGAGAGAGAGAGAGAGAGAGAGAGTTGCGAAGTTGAGCATAGCAGCGTAGAGTACGTCGATCGTAGAGAGTCAAAGTAGTAGTGCCGAGCGTAGAGTAGCGTCGAAGTCGAATGTAGCCGAGTAGGAACAATAGGGTACAGTAGTGTCGAGAGTCGAAGTGGGAGTGTAGCCAGTTAGGGGCGCCGTTTCTTTCCGGCGCTGCGTCACGAAAACAAGTTAGTTACATCACCCCCGTGCGCGTGTGCGGAGTGCGGAGTGCCGTGCGCGGCACTACCGGCCCAGTGTGATTTCCCTACAGGCCTAGCCATCGTCTGCGCGCGGCACTGCCCAGTGTGATTTCACTACCGGCCTAGTGATTGTCTCCAAACGATCGACAAACAATTTGGACCGTGCAGCATAAAGCCGACGACAGTCCAGATTGCGACTTGATGACATCGAAAACAATCATCAGCCAATCTGGACCACCGCGCAGCAAGGAAACCAAGGGCCCAGATCGGCTGTTGGTCACAGGCCGCCAAATAGCGATTGTTATAATGTGGTGATCTCCTCAAGTGCCGTTATGAACGTCTCCTCAAGTGCCATCTTTCAGCTTTCTTTTTCTTTGGTGCTTCGATTTTTTCACAGTTTATCAGAGTTTCTGTTGACCAATGTGGGAAAGAGAAGCATAAGCAAGAAAAGATAATGAGAGGAAAAGAAATACATTCACCACTGAAATTCTGAAGTGTTGCAACGTTATGTACGATCCCGCTTTATAGGCTATTTCACCCCCCCCCCCCCCCCCCCCCCCCCCCCCCCTCTTGAAGGCCCTTTTTGAAATATGTGCCATTATGTGGTCATTTTCCCGTGAAATATGTGGTCATTATGTGCCTTCTGTTACTTGTTTCTTTTCAACATATGGCTTTTTATTTTGTTGGAGAAAAAAAAAGGTTGCAGTTCTTGGCATGGTAGCATTTGGTTTGAAATGATTATGTGACGGTTTTTGTTTCACCGTGAAGTCTTTATGGAAAAAATACTTCAAATTAGTACATAAGAAATGTGCGAAAGAAGAGAGACAGTGTTGTCAGATGCTGTGTCTAGAATATTGATACAACAAGAAAAGTTCAAAAAATCCAAAACAATCGCAGATAGAAAAAAAGATAAGGTATGAAAAGTTGAAAACACCTTGTTCTGAAGAAAATAATGAGTGCAGGGACAGGAAACATCACTTCAATCTGAGAATTGCATGGCTCTGACATCCATGCCGTACTTATATCGAAAGTTCCTACAGTCAGGTGTGATGCTCCTGTAGCAACACAGGAAAAGGCGCCATTGGATAACATCTGGTATTCACGCTATTGATCTACATCCTCAAAGAAATCGAACTGTGGCTGGATGGCGGCCGCTCCGCCGTACAGGTTCCACCCGATCATCCTGTTCTGGGCACACTGACGGTACACCCAGAGAAGGATGAACCGGCTGAGTGGCGGCCTCAGATTCTTTTATGGTTGGACCAAAGAGCCACACATGCCCTTCCCAGTGTGAGTGCTTTCGCACTGATAGGTCTGACGACCTGCCCGAGCGTTGCCCTGTGGTGCCACCAGCTTCTTTTGTGGCCAGGTTAGCAGTCCACGCAAACCCTGCCCAGCAGTGTAGGTAGTTGAGAGAGAGAGAGAGAGAGAGAGAGAGAGAG